GCCGCTGCTTCCCAAACGGGAAACCCGGAAGCTCCGTCTTCCCTTCTCTCTGTCGCAGAAGCGCAGCCTGGCCGCCGCCCCGGGCGTGTGGGCCACAGCCAAGGACACGCTCCCCAAAGGCGAGAAGCCCGCTACCCCCTGTGCGCTTGGATCTAACGCCTCCGCTCCAACGCCCCGCCATCTCCAATGAAAGGGTTTCTCGCCCGGCCCGCAGCCGGTGCAGCTACAGGGCCAGGCGTGCTGCGCGGGGGACAGCACTTTTGAGCAGAGACGCGCGGGGATGAGCGTGGGGCCGAATGAAGGCCGGGGGGTACGGGGGAGCCCTCAGTCCCCGGGTCTGACGAAGGCGGGCAAGGCAGTCAACCCCCTTTAGACCCTTCAGACGCGACGTGTTCCTCTCTGAAATCAATAAAAAAATTTTTCAAAAAGAAAGTTTTTTTTCAAGTTCTGTTCTCTCTTTTATGATTATTCTTTGCTTTATATGTGCACTTTTTTTTTTGCCATCAGAATAAGTTCTTTTCTAAATGTCAGGTTCTAACTAAAAGCCGTGCACGTCCTGGGAGCAGAGGCGGACTCGAGCCTCAGGGTGTCCTCAGGGCCTGCTGGGTGCAGCTGAGCCCCACCAGGGGGCCCTGAGGGGTGAGGGAGTCGCCCCCAGCCCGGAGAGGGGGGGACCACCCTGGTGGCGGCTCTGCCTTTATTAATCCCAAACCCTTTCTCTAACACGGGGAGCCCGGAGCCCGACGGAACGGCTTGCACAGGCCATGCGGGAAGGCGCCCTGTGTTATGTGGTCTCTGCTAACATTTTTGAAAGCGATGGAATCCCTTTTGCAAGTGAGGTCTCCTGTGTGACCCCAAGATGCCGTTGGCAAAAGCAAACGGCTCGGAGGGAGGGGCTGGGCCTCCGGCTCCCGGGAGCCCCGTGTTCGGGGTAGACGGCGGGAACGTGGCCCAGGGGCCCGGCTCCGGCGCGGAGAGCCAAGAGGCCGGCCACTTGCAAACTTGTGATTAAAGCCATCGAAGCCGCTCGCAGCATGGGGCCCCGCTGCCTTCCTGTCCACAGAAACTCCACCCGGCACCTTCCATCCTGGTCCGCCCGTGGGTCGGGATGCCCACCGC